TTTTTGGAATTGTCTTCCTTATGATCCAGCTGGGGAGTCTGGTAAGTAAGTCTACAGCCAGGTCGGAGTTCTAGAATCAAAGAGAAATGTAAGAAAGAACTGACGTCCTCTCCTATGTCTAATTCCCACTCATCCTATGCACCTTCTGTGGGTGGTTCAATTCCTACTGAAGAAAGCAACTTCAAAGTTGCTCTTTTCAGGAAACAGAGGAGGAATATGGGGAGAACGTGTAGGGACGATGGTAGAGCTAGAGCTTGCCTTGTATAGCTACAAAATGTCTACCAATTGGGAACATATTATATCCTTTCTTCATTTTAATTTACTCCAAGGCAGAAGGAGGCACTAGCAGGAAGAGATCTGTGTTTCTCCCCTTTTATTTCACTCCAGTTTCTCCTTTATTGTGCCTCAGACTTTCTACTCTTCCTCAGCTTCAGGGTGTTCGGAACAAAAGCTTCCATGACAGCAAGGAAGATGCGTATCTTATTCACCATTTATCCCCTGGGCCTTGTTCACATAAATAAAACATTAATATATTGGTTCAATCTAAAAATTTAAATAAAAAATATGTATGCATTATTTTTAAAAAGGCAAGCAGTGCAGAAGAGTATAAAATATAAGATATTTTACCTCCACTTCTTAACCGCCTCCTCATTCCCATACCACCAATAAAACCACCATACAATTCCTGGTTTTAGTTCTCCTGGTAATTGCCTTTATATTTATTGATTTATCATTATATAATGTCTTTGTGCATTATAAAATATGAGGAATTTGCTTTACTTATATCATCCTCCAACTCCGCGATCAGGTCTCAGTTTTTATTTCTATGTTACTATTTTGGACAGCAATGCTGGTTGAATGAGCAAGTGCACAAACCAGTTTCCTCTTTCATTTCTTTACCCAAACAATGGTACCCTTGTTTCTTTTTTTTTTTAATTGAAGAATAATTGACATGCAATATCCTATTAGTTTCAGATGTACATGACAGTGATTCAATATTTATATACATTATGAAATGATCAACCCAATAAGTCTAGTAACCATCTGTCAACAAACAAAGTTATTACAGTTTTAATGACTATATTCCCTATGCCATACATTATATCCCCATGACTTATTTATTTTATAACCAGAACTTTGTATCTCTTAATCCTGTTTACCTATTTCGCTCATCCCCAACCCCTCCTTCCTTTAGTAATTGCCAGTCTGTCTCTTGTATCTATGAATCTGTTCCTGTTTTGTTTTGTTTGTTCATTTGTTTTGTTTTCTAGATTCTACACATAAATGAAATTATATGATATTTGTTTTTACCTCTCTGACTTATTTCACTTAGCATAATAACCTCTAGGTCCATCCATGTTGTCACAATTGGCAAAATTTCATTATTTTTTATGGCTGAGTAATATTCCATTGTGTGTGTGTGTGTGTGTGTGTGTGTGTGTGTGTGTGTATACACACAATGATGGACACAGGTAGCTTTCATATCTTGGCTACTGTAAATAATGCTAAAATGAACATAGGGGTGCATATATCTCTTCAAATTAGTGCTTTCATTTTCTTTGAACAAATACCCAGAAGCGGAATTCTGAATCACATGGTAGTTCTATTTTTAATTTTTCATCTTGGTGAGGAAGATTGTCTCTGAGCTAATATCTGTGCCAATCTTCCTCTATTTTGTATGTGAGATGCCACCACAGCATGACTTGATGAACAGTGTTTAGGTCTATGCCCAGGATCCAAACTTACAAACCCTGGGCTGCCAAAGCAGAGCATGCAAACTTAACCGCTACACCACTGAGCTGGCCCCTATTTTTAATTTTTTCAGGAACCTCCCTACTGTTTTCCGTAATGGCTGAACCAATGTACATTTCCACCAACTTTGTACAAGGGTTCCCTTTTCTCCACATCCTAGCCAACACTTGTTATCTCTTGTCATTTGATAATAGCTATTGTGACAGGTGTGAGGTGATATCTCATTGTGGTTCTGCTCTGCATTTCCCTGACTGTTAGTGATGTTGAGCATCTTTTCATGTGCCTGTTGGCCATCTGTATTTCTTCTTTGAAAAAATGTCTATTCAAATCCTCCGTCCATTTCTTAATCGAGTTGTTTGTATTTTTGACATTAAGTTGTATAATTTCTTTATATATTTTGGATATTAATCCCTTATGAGATGTATGACTTGCACACACCTTCTCCCATTCACTAGATTGCCAGTAGTACCCTCATTTCTAAACCACTGGAAGCCAGCCTTCTGCCAAATGGTGACAGAGTTTCCCATGCCATGCCATTTGGTTTTTGTGCTTGTAAATCCTCTCTAACATGTTCAGTGATCTCCTGATTAATTGTAAAAGATTACCTTTCTCAGAAACATCTGAGTTTAACAGGTCTCAAAGCCACTAGCTGCAGAAGGAGGTCCTGACACTGGAACTTTAAAACGTTTAGACTTGCTGTTTAAATCCTTCAGGATGTCTTGTAGCTTCCTAGCGAGCCGCCGACTTGGGGCTGGGCAAGACTAAGACAGTGGAACTTATGCTTAGTGACTATGGATCATCCACTGTTTTTATTATGTCTGTCTTCTGAGACTTTCTCTTTGGCTGTTGTCAGATGTATCAAAACAAAACATCTCCAGGAAAAAATATCAAAGGACCTAAAATTAATGTGTTATTTCAGATTTCTTCTAAGCCAGCAAAAGAACGTCCCTCTCTGACTAACGTCCGATAATTCGAGCCTCGCAGGCCAGCCCCCTTAACGTGCTGATTTAGGGCCCCTGCCCGTTTTCCTCTCTCGTCTTTTCATCTTTGTCTCTCTGATGCAATCAGCATGCTGGCCTTAGGCTCACCTCGGTTTTGTTTTATTTTTTAAGGAAAAAAAAACCTTGGTTTTTCAAGTGAGTTTAAGATTCAACTCTTCTGCTCTTTTACCACAGATTCCCTAAATCTTAGAGTTTGAAAGTTTTTATTTAAATCGTGCCTTAGAGTGGGTCACAGCAAAGTAAATTCTCATCAATGATGTACTTTGGTAGCACTGTTGATTCTCAGCTGTGGTGTCCTAGGGAAAAAGGAAAAACTTTCAGCTCAGAATTGAAAAACTTTGCTGGGGTCCTTGATGCACTATTCACTTGCTGTGTGACTATTATGTTGAGGCAGGTCACCTCAACTGTCTGAGCCACAGCTCTCTACTGAGCAATGAAGATCATAACACAGTACTTAGCTCACAGAGCTGTTGCACTGGTGCATAATAGGTGCTCAATAAACTTAACTCATCTCTAACTTTTGTGTCTACAATCAAATTTTTGATCTTGTTCCCCAATTCCTACATGGATTTTCTTATCCCAGTTGATGGCAACCCCAATCTTCTCGTTTCTTATGTCATGCTTGACACTTTCTCTCTCAGCTCAAATCCAATACATCTGCAAATCCTCTTGGCTCTGCCTTAGGAATGTATTCCTAATCTGATACCTTATACCACTTCCCTCACTGCCACCGTTGTCTGAGCCAACATCACTTATCACCTCATTACCACAATAGCCTCCTAACTGGTCTCCCCATTTCTACCCTTGCCTCTCTAGGGTCTATTCTCAACACTTCAGCCAGAGCAATCCTTTAAAAAGTGAGTCTGATCTGTCACTCCTCCACTCATATTCAGTCATGGTTTCTTGTTAGGGCTGATCTCCAACTGGCTCACACCGGAACTGGGGTACCAGTTGTTATAATATTGAAATCCTTCTTTCCCTATCATGAGATAGCCTATCCTCAAAGTCCTCTTTCCTTGAAATTCCCTGGAATCCACCAGGGGGTCTCCCCACAATGCACCGACTCAAGGGATAATGCTTAGCACTTCAGAGGGACCTCTAGGACAGTACTTCCATCTTGTGGCCAGACATTCATGCTGATGGGTTGGTGTCTGAGCTGTACCTGCTGTTAAACATTTTGAATAACACCTGTGTTTGCCATCTCATTGAAAATAAAAACCAAGTTTCCACATTGGTGAGATTCTTTTCTACATTTTTGACTGCATCTCCTATTGTTCCAGCCTTGTTCAGTCCACACAAGTCATGAATGCCTCTTGGCATTTCCTAAATCAAGCTAAGTATGCTGCTGCCTCAGGGCCTTTGCACTTGCTCTTTCTGCTGCCGATAATGTCCCTGAACCAGATTTCCATCTGACTAGCTCTTTTATCTCCTGCAGCTATCTTCTCAGTGTCACTTTCTTCACAAGGCACTTTCTGGCTGCCTTATGTAAAATAGAAACCCTTCTCCCTTCTCCACTGGTATACTCTAATCATTGTTCTCAATCCTTACTTTTTCTCAACAGCATTTATCTCCATCTGACAGGCTATATATTTTCATCTGTGTGTTCATTTATTGTCTGTCTCCCTTTTCCCCACCAACTAGAATGTGAGCTCCCTCAGAGCAGGAATTTTATCTGTTTTGCCTACTGCTTTATCTCTAATGCCTAGCAGAGTCTGACATATAGTAAGCCCTCAAAAAACATTTGTTGAAGGAAAGAACTACTCAGTGCCCAGTTTTCTCATTTGAATAACAAGGAAAATAATACATCCTAGATAAATTGTGAAGATGAAGTAAATGAGAAAGGAGCTGGTAAGCTATGCGGCCCTGAATAAAGGTTGGCTGTCATCAGTTTCCTCTTGTTGATAAATATTCTTGCACCACAGTCACCCTCCTCCAACACTGTTGCCGACAAGAGTGTCCATGTTTGAAGGAATCTCTAAAAATTCTGCCCTGGTGTCCTGGGGGCCATAGCCCTGAATGGCCTATGGTTCTGCTTGTACCCTCAATCCTGAGTGGACCAGAGAGGTTTCTCAAGGCATCAGGACAAAGCAAGTGTGTCAGCAGCCATGGCGAGTGCATGACACATTCTTCCCAGCTCCTTAAAGCTTTCCTGTGGGCCCATGCAGGGAGGGGGGTGTGTCAGGAGTCACATGTGCTCTGGTGCTTGCATCAAAAAGCCCTATAAAGGGAAGATACATCAGAAGAGGAAGGAGTGGACACCTGCTTTATTCTCTGTATCTGGGAAGCGAAGTCCAACGGTTAAGAATAGGTTGAGCATATGGCAGCATCTACATAACTACATACAAAACACAGGGATGTTTTTAAAATGTAAAGATTTGCTTCAGGAGGTCATTTGGGAACCCTGGCTAAAGGTCATGGGGAAGGCAAGGAAAAGCATGCAGGAGCTTTGGTGGAAAAACGAGTAAATTTACTGAATCCCCGCATTACAGTTTCCAGTGAACTCTATTATCCATTCTCATTTCTTAACAAACAAACAAATATGGGGTCAGTCCAGTGGCTTAGTGGTTAAGTTCTCACATTGCACTTTGGCGGCCCAGGGTTCACAGGTTCAGGTCACAGGCGTGGACCCATGCACCGCTCATCAAGCCATGCTGTGGCGGCATCCTATGTACAAGGTAGAGGAAGATGGGCACGGATGTTAGCTCAGGGCCAATCTTCCTCACACACACACACACACACACACACACAAATACACACAAACCAAACAAATAAACACACACACAGTGAGGTGCACTGTGTGTTTGGAGTCTAGACTGTAGGCCTTACCTTCAAGGTAAACATACTCCAGACCTGTGAAGACTTGTGGTCCATCCCTCTGGAAGCACCATCCTTCTCTAGAACCTCACTACCCCTTTAATTCACAAAGGGAGTTGGTGTCTTTACCATTCTCTGAGAGTAAAAAAAGTAAAGAGAAAACACTCTTACTAAAGTAATCTAGAGTAGCTTGCCTTGTGATAGAACCCCTTTTCCCTCTGTATCTGAGGAAGTGAGGGATTTTGGCATCTTCCCAGGATCCATCATGCGTATATGGCAAAACATCATGATTCTGGAGGCTGGAAGGCGAGTCCTGCTTCCCGAGCATGATTTCAGGGACTAGACCCCATCATTACCATGCATGCATGCACATTTGAGATAGGCATCCTTTCGCCAGTTATAAGATAAATGTTCGATTCTGCAAGGGTAGGGATCTTTAGATTCACACAATGATACATAGCTTTAAGTTAGTGGAAAATAACTTTGGAAAGCAGACCTTAGTTTCCATGTCATAAAAATATTTCTCTCTAGTATTTTGTCCTGACAGCTCAAACAAATATAATATGAGAATACTACCTGTGGCTTATTTTTTTTCTTTTGGTTTCTAATGCTGAATTTATAATCTTCTCTAACTTTGTGTGACCACACATATTTAAGATTCCTGTATCAATTTGATTCACTGCCACATTTCCTTCTGTGTTGAAAAGGAAGTTACAGACCTCAAATGGCTTTTACATTGTCTGTGTGATAAGTGCACTATACATATGGAATATCAGATGCCTCATTTCAAGGCTGCTCTTGACATTGCTGCTGCTAATGATTCTTCCATTTGGGAATATTTCCGTTCCGTACCCAAAATCTATCTTAAGCGGTGAGGAAAAGTGGTGAAAATCGGCACTACGCAGATGCCAGCAAGTTTCCCAGTTGGTTATGATCACCACATCCTTCCAAAAGGGATGACTGGGGGTGGGGGGGATGGAGGAAGAAATAAAAACAAATTTTGGCAGACCCAAGCTTAGAAGAAAAACAATACTTTCACCGAATTTAGCCTCTGCTCTCTGTCATAGAAAATTATAATAAGTACAAGAGAATTGCATTCAATTTTGGTCAAGTATTATTCTTGGAATACACATTAGTCAGAATTGGCCTCATTAGGAGGGCACTTTTTGAACAGCTATGTAGTGGTTCACAAAGCATGCAGCCTCCTGAGAGGGTGTGATTCGAAGTTTAACAAGCTTATTTCACATTCGATATCACTTACATTTCAAACCAGGACTCAAACCAGAGCTTATACTGAACCTTTAAATGACAAGAAGTGGAGTAAAACACATTTACATATAACCATACAATAACATTGTCAGAATTGCCACAACTCGTTAATTGCCAACATAGACCTACCAATCGACACTACAGCTCGGGCACTGAGCTTGTTGTTTTCGTCCTTCTTATAAGTCAACATTTTCCATTGAACCTACAAATGAATTGAATTCACATACCACTCTACACCGAAGCACATGTTTTTATTTTGCTTCCCTATTTATAATCGCTATTTTGAAAACAACAATTGTGGTTTGGATTCACTGTGGGGCTGACTTTTACACATGTAAAGGCTCATGATTTTTTCTTTTTCCTCTGGAAGCTCTTAAATCATTTTTAACTATATAATCTGATTTGCCATCACCATCAGTATAAAGTAGGTAGTACAGCACACATTTCCTAACAAATTTAATAGGCGAGGAAAATGAAGGTAGAAGATGAGTAGCTTGCCCAAGCCAATAGTAACATTTTAGGGATATTGGATTGAGTTAAAACTAAGCTAAGGACTAGATCCAGAGAGTCATAGAAGAAAATCTTAGGTATTTTTTACCCAGAGCAAAAAGACTAAGCAAATTAAACCTTTAATGTATCCTGTATCTTGATACTAATGTCAATTTAGAAATCTGGTAACCAGAGCAGAGAAGCCGAAAGCTCAGATAATATCGAATCTGTTTACCTGAGAGAGTTGCTCTGGGAAGAACTCTGGAACCCTCACATAAGAGCAAAGGTATTTCCAGCTGATTTGGGCTTCTCCCTAAAAACATTGTTGCCCTTTATTTCTGCAAGGTAAACAAAGAAACGCTGACACTAAGTGCTGCCCAAACTGGCTATGTCTTCAAGACTGGTGCTGATCACAACTCTAGCACCGAGGTACCTTCTTTGATGACTACTTACAGGAAAAAAATTGACCTCACTGAAACCACTTGATCTTTTGTCCGGATCTGAGGAGGCTGTGTAAGCTTACTTAAAGCTCTCTGGGTCGCTCCAAGGCAGCAGGGAGAATATGAGCAAAGCTTCATTACTTTATTGGCGCTGTCTTCCAAATCAGACTTTCTCACAGGATTCTAGCCTTTCTGGCCTAAACTAGGAAGTGCCCAGGTGTGTTTAACTCAGTACTAAAATTAAAATCTAGGAATGTTTTAGACCTCACATGTTCAGGTTCAATTTTATTTTGGTAACTAGGTTTCAGCCAGGTTCTTATTTCTTTTGAACCAGGTCATCCAGCCCCTGTTTTTCATCAAAGAATCTCAGTGAACTTAGATTTTTGATTCTCAGACACCCAACTCGCTGAACCACCCACCCTGCCTTAATGCCTTGCTATTTTATTCCATATAAGGCCTTGAAACATACTCACCTTACTCAGTGAAAATCCTTCTGGGATGGGGAGCTGCCAGCACATTAGAAATATGATCTAAAGTCGTTCTGTTCGAGGTTGGTCATATCCAGTTTAGAAGATATCAGGCATAAAATGAGAAAAAAATATTATCTCCCAACACTTATCAGATCATCTTCTTATAAGACTTTTTCTTGTTTAGTTTTTTAGTTCATTTCTTGGTTTTTCTGGAAAAAACGCTGCAGTTATGTTGCTCACGCAGCCAAAAATCTGCACTTAATTGGGCACATAAAAAAATAGCAGACAGGAAGTCTATTTCCTCACAGAGAGATATTGTGGTTTATGGACTCTGCTTTCATACTGCAAAGCCAGTGCATTATTTTATTTTTTAATACACTCCTGGTAAGATGTCCCTGGCAACCGTAAAGCTGTTTAAGTCCACACCAGAATCAGTATCAGCCCAGGTAGAGGTGCTTGATTACAAAATATTAGTTTAATCTGGGTTTGATTTTGAATCAAACTTAAGTTCTTAAATTTTTCTGGATGCTAGAGAAATAGAGAATTTAATATTTGTGTATGCACTGAAAAAGTGATAAATGTTCATGAGAGAAACCGGCCACATCCAACAAGCAGGGCTGCATTGACTCTCCACGGGTTCTGGGAAAACATTTAAGTTGCCTGTATAACTTCCCCCACACACACCCTTGATTCACTCCCTCTGGGAGCCAGAGAGTTCCTGAGGACTATCAAGTTACAAAGGGGAAGGAAGCCTTTATCAAAAGATTGAAGATGCTTACTTTTCCAGTTGTCTTTCCATCTCTTTATCACTATCCTGTACATTCTTCCTTTTTTCATTTATATCTCTCATATTTGAGTCATAATAATTAAATCCCCAAGAATACAAACTCAGAGTTTTAGAGTCTGGCTTCCCATTTATAGATGAGGAAAGTGAGACAAAAAGTAGTTGCATAATTTTTTTTTTTTTCCCAAGGACATGAAACACCAGTAGCAGAGACAGGATTAAATCCCGATTCTTCCCCGACACCACACTGCCTTTCTGGGTGAGTGGAAAAACAAAAATGAAAGTACTGTTCTCTTGTCACTTCGTGTGAGCTCTAAGACCGGGTACATTTGGTTCTAGGCCCTTTCTATCTGCTTGTCTTGGGCACAATGCCTCATAATTTGGAAAAATTATGTAAGCCCCCAATTTTTCCTAGGGCATGTGAGAAACTGCCATTTGTTTTTAGCAACGTAGTGTCATAAAGTTAGTGTGGGCCTAATCCCACTTAAAAGTTAGCTGAGAGCTTTGGTGTAATTGCTTTGCCTTTTAATTCAGGCTAAGCCACAGGTAATCAAGTCTTTCCTTAATACCTTGGGGTTTTATAGAAACTAAAACCCATCCGGTTGGTACAGGTATCACTAGCCTCAAACTGGAATTCTCTAATGCTCATGGTCAACTCAATCCAGGGAGGGGATTGACGTCACACTAGTGTTTGTGTAACTCTGTGGGATTAATTTTGACACTTTGCCTTCCAGAGAAGGTGAAATTTAGGGTCTTTCTCCAGTCGTTGCCCAATCCAGACTCAGATGGGAAGTTGATCAAGGGAGCCAGAGAGTTTAGACTCAATCTCAGTTTCTCAAACTTGTCTCTGATTCTTTGGCTCAGTCTTCAAAGGAATAAGCCAACAGGAAACAGATTGTCGCATACGGTCACGGTCATGGCTGGCTGTAGTTTGATTTGGGAAACAATTGCTATCCCTTGGTTGTTGTCTAGGAGAATCATGTGTGGGGCTGAATATCTCTACCAGCTGATCTGGAGTCTTGGGGAGTTGAGGGTGAGGAGGAGGTGCTTTCTTACTTCTACAGGAAGGACTGTTCTGGATTTTCTTGGTGCTGGCTTGGTACCAAGTATGTCATATAGAAAGGGAAAAATCATGATAATTATTATCAAGTTCTTACCATGCATCAGGGCTGGTTCCAGAGTCTTCATCTTTATCATCTTCCCAATCACTGTGTGAGGTAGGTCTTATTATCCTTATTTTATAGGTAAAGAGGGAAAAAGTCAAGTTCTTTCCACCACCCTCCAGATAAAGTTCAAATCTCTTAACAGGAAGAGGCAGGGAAGGGTAGCGGTTAAGGGTACAAACTGTACAGCTGGGCTGCCTACCTTTGAATTGCAGATCTGCCACTTACTAGTTGTACAAACTTAGGCAAGTTGTTTAAGTTTTCTGTGCCTCAGTTTCTGCATCTGCAAGTGGAGACACAACCTGATGGGGTTGTTAGAGAGTGAAATATTTAGTAAATTTAAAGTGTTTAGAGCAATGCCTGGCCCATAGTTCTAAATGTTAGCTAATATTGTTACTATTACCATTATAATCACTATTATTATTTTTAGCAACAGAATGTGGAATGAGACTTTTGTTATCTCAAGATTTCAGCTAAAGCCTCAAAGTTGGGAACATTAGATGATAGGTATCCCCACATTTTAAAGAGGAGCTGCTAGATCCATTTCTGCACTGCTACTGAAATGTAGCTGAGTGGTCCTGATTTCATCACCCCCTACCACTCATACAGAGAAAAGAATAGAAATTCAAGAATCCTCTGAAGTAGAGAATTCACGGGACAAGTATGTTTTCAGTATAGTGGGTAGTGCTATGGTATTTCCCCAAGTAATTGGCTCTAAACATTGTGAGGTCCCTGAAGGGAGACTGGGACCCCCTCCTCGCCTGGAGGCTTGTTATGCTGGTGCTGCTCTGGCATTGCCCCTGGAGCAGAATGTGAACAAAGAATTCTGGAAAGTCTGACAGCCTGGTGAACAGAGAGAGTCATGCTTGCTTCTTCCCTGGTGGATTCTTAAGGAGCAGCCCTCGTTGGTAGGGTGAGGAAAGACAACTAGACAGGCACAGCTTGTACTCCGGCTGTTCCACGTGGTGAAGACCTGTGAGCTTCCTGTTGGTCAAGTGGATGCCTTGAAAGCCAGATGGGTTTAGATCATCTTAAGATACTCGGCCCCAGGTGGAGGACTGTCACAGTGGGAGACTGGAGTTGTATGGCCAAGGTCAAGGAGAGGGTGACAGGCGGTGGGCTGGAAAGCTCATTAGCAGTGTGAACTGTGGCTGTAGAGTTTCCTTAAGACCCTACATCTCTGCCCCATGAGAGAGCAGCATCTTCATGCCCATGACAGCCAGCCAGTCAGCATAGTGTTCACGCTGAAGGAATGACCACAGCAGGACCAGTTAGGCTAAAAATACACTTCCATCTGTATTTCTCTATGCTCTTGCCTCCTCCTCTTGCCTGACCCTGGAAAGGAAATAGATGAAGACAGAAAGAAAAGAACATGATGCCTCATCCAACGGAGATCCCAAGCCACAGCTCAGGGCACTTTGAGATTGAAACTTTAATTTAGATTCCATAAGGCTTTTTTCTATCTAAAAGTGAATCCTAACTATTCTTTTAGCCATGAGCAACCTAAATGCTGGAGACTCTGCTTGAGATATCATCAAGGAGCAGGGAAGGGGTATCCAACAGAATGTGCTTAAATTTTTAATGTGAGCAATTAAATATTTTTAGCAACTTGCCCAAGACTATACAGCTTAAATGGCAGAATTTGAAAGTAAACCCATGTCTGATTACCAACGCCATGGTGTTTTTACTACGTAGACTTCCCCCTGAAATTTTATGGTGGAATCAACCAGAAGAATTCTGTTAAAATGTGCTACAACTCTTGTAAAGGGGTTTGCTAAATTTGCATAACATATTCAAAATGCCTTACAGAAATAAACAGGAGAGATTAGAGATTTTGGCAACTCTTTAACATTTGAGGTGTGGTACCTCAGGGAAGACTATCTAACCATAGAAGAAGAGTTATAAGGGTGCCAGAACTAAGAAATCTATATCTGTATATATATATATATATATTTCTTTCTTATACATATATAAGAAATATATCCATTTCATACACAAGTACACATGTATGTGTGTGTATGTATGTATACGTGTATATTCATATACATTTATAAAAGCTATAGGATAAAAAAAGTGTAGGAATATGGAGGTCATCTAGTCAAACGTTCATTTTAAAGATGAAGAAACTAGACCTAAGGAGGTGAAGCTGTTTATTTAAATTCTCCAGAGATTAAGTGGTAAAGTCTTTTCTTTAATCCAAGTCAGTTACTCCCCTGGTTTCTGCAGCTGAGGTGCTGGGCAGAGCCAGAGAATATGTGTTTCTTGTCAAGAAACCACAAAAGAACCCCTTTCTAAAGTTCTGGGTGTGACTCTGCACCCTCCGATGGTTACATGGACAACCTCAAGCGAAAATATCCCTTATTGGAGGCTTAGTGAAAGGAAACAGGCTTTGCTGAGGAGTTGGAATAAGAGTGATAATTCTTGGTCAGCTCAGGCTAAGAGTTAATACATGCTTGTGGGCCTAAGGATGGCTTGGACGACTGTAGCTGTAAAATTGGGAGCTGAGGCTGTAGCTAGGATTAAGTGGATCACCCACAGGCACTCTTTTTACAGATGAGTGGGCTATGATGGAACACCCTTGTCAACGTGGGCTAGAAGAGTGTCTCCACTATAAATGAATCTTTCCCTTGGGAATCTAAATGACACTGATGTCCTTATAAAGACCAAAACCCTTAGTCTTAAAATCTCTATCAAGACCAGAGCCTCAGCTATGATTGCTCACATATGGAACTAAGCAGAAACAAATGGTCTGGAAGGCATTCTTATGGCTATAAAGGAACTGTATTGCCAAAGAAGCCAGAAAACTGGCCTGCCAAAACCTGTGGCACCTCAACCCGACTCCTGGATCTATAAGTCGATATCGGCAAGAAGTGGAGTGTGGAAGTCGTGGTGGCCCCAAGAAAGTATACTCTCCAGTGTATGCTTCAGATGTGGCCAGGGAGACAATGGACAAAAGAAATCCTCCCAGAGCTACAGCCACAGCAGCCAGATGGGCTGACCGAACGACTCACGTCACTGGTAGGGTGGGAGTTTCCATAGATCCTTTCCAACTGGACTTGATAATTCTGACATTGATGACAGCTGTGTGTTTCCCATTTTCTCTTTCCCAATGGGAGTTTTATTTCAGTCATCCTGTCCCTACTCCTTCATTTTATATTGAGTATTCTGGGACAGAGTACTAGTCTGTTAGTTACCAGCCACCATATTACAAAGAGTCACATTGGGACCGTTGATATAGAGGGCTGATCTCACCCAGAGAATCCTCAACTTTGATCTAGATGCAGGAACTGGATGAGGCTTTGGGATGAGATTCCTTGAGAAGGAAATGAGGGTATTCTCTATGGAGAATGAATAATGCAAACATAGCCAAGGGAATGGAATGTGACCAAGACTATTAGCTGTCCCTCAAGACCTGTCCTCTGGCCCCTTGTAGATAGTGTGGCTATGTGAAGTTCCAGCTAATGGGTTATGCACAGAAGTGAAGAACATAATTTCTTATCCACATCTCCCTTAATGGAGGGGTTGTGTTCTTCATCCTTCCTCCCACCCATTGCTTGGAATGTGGATATAGTGAGGACCTACCCAGGACCTTGCAGACTGAGAATAGCCCAGCAATTGTGGATCTCTCTGACAGGGACCTGGGTCCCCGGAAAATCTTGTGGAGCCTTGGACTACCTGCCTTTGGACAGTTACATGAGAAAAAATTTTCTATCTTCTTTATGCAACAGCTATTTTGAGCCTCTATTACATACAGCCAAATCTTTATCCTTTCATTCATGCTGTCTTTAATGTAATCTTCAATACATATTGTCAGGGAGTTTACAAACCAGACCCTTCATTCGATTCCTAAACATTAAGATCAGTTTCCTATACATTTTGAACTAAACAATATGAAGCTAAAATGTAAACTTTATGAGATCAGAGACCTTGCCAATCTTGTTCACCACCGTATTCCCGGTGCTTAGTACACACTCAGTCTTTGTTCCTTTCCTCCATGCTAGTAACTGGTTATTTAGTTAACTAATTCAGAAATGTTTATTAAGTACCTAGTATATACAAGATTCTGAGCTTAGAAATAATAATAAGAAGAAGAAGAAGCATTTATCAAACACTTACTGAGTACTAGGCATCACTCCAAGTGTTTTACATGCACAGTATTTATGCATTTAATCCTCATTGTAAACCAATGAAGCAAATTCTATTACCATCCCCAATATACATAGGCGGAAACTGAGGCACTGAGAAGGGAAATGACTTTCTAAGGTCACACAGGTAATAAAGGGAGTATCTGAGACTAGAACCCTTGCAGTTTACCCTAAAGCCTCCCCGCATAAGTACAGCCCCCTACTGCCTTTCCAAAGGGCACTAGGCATCATTTTTCCCACTAAACAGTTAAATGAGCTTCAAAAGACCATAGTCTTTCCAATGTGTGTTCTGAAAAATGAAAGTTCATATTTTAAAGTCACAAAGCCCATTTTAGACCAAAAGTATTATCCATTTGGTTAAAATAGCAATTATTTTGTCAGATAGTAATAGAACTCTCCCAAAGACTAATTTTAATGGAATGGAATTAACTTTCTAGTACACAAACTTATTTTCTAATTTTACAAACCAGACAATTCCATTTCCTGGTCATTAAAAAAAGGAAACTTTAAAGTCTTTACTAATTGTTTAATAGTACTTTTGGCAAAAGTAGAATAGCACTTTTTTCTTTAATAACTGCCGTTTATACAAACCAAGTAAAAGAATAGTCTTATCCGAAAATAACTGTTCAAAATGATATAAAAAGGCATGTACAAAATAATTGCTTTTCTTTTATAAATTAAAAAGGATTTTTTAAAAGGTAAATACAGTTATTCAAAGTATAATTCTCACATGAAAGACTGGCTGCTAAAATGTACAACAGTTTATAAGCTAGATGAAATAAAAAGGAAGTAGAAGACGAAGTACTTATATTCAGAATGCTTAAAATCAGCTGGACAATTTCCATCGTGTAAATGCTCCCACCATGGCCTATTTCAAGCTGCCAAGGTGCAGTCGATGAATGTAGAATTGGGAAGAGATGTGCACAGTCTGTGCTCTGGAGCTCATATGAGCAAGCTCCAGCACACCACTGGCTCATAAGTCAACCAATCACATTCTAGATAGAAACGGGAGTGCCTATTCTGTGTCTGTATTATGCTAGACATTTTAACAAGGGCTACAAGCAGAATGTACCCAGGACTATAAGATTGAGAATGTGCTGTGCAAGTTCAGAGAACTACCTCCTGAGCAGAGGGATGTGGAAGAAAAATAAAGTCGTCTTTGCCTTTCAGAAATTTAGGAAGACAAAATGAGTAGACAAAAAAAACATTGCAAGGGCCACTTGCAGTAAGCATGAATTAGCAGGGCTGATGGCACACCGTAGGTGCTCAATCATAAGCAATGGTCCTAAATGAATACAAAATACAAAGCCCAGTCCTTCCTGCATAGGAATGTCAACATCTTTGGCATTAAAAATAAAAAGCATAGTCTTCAATTTTAGATTTTGTTAGCTTCTGTTTTAGTTAGTCTGCTTGTCCTTCCATTCTCAGAACTTGTGTTACTATTTGCTTCATCTATGTTCCCCCACTCCGAAGGTGGCAAACTGATTAGAAGAAACTTCTTGACCCTGGTTTAGAGAAACAAAATCTAGATCTATGTGGATGGGGTTTGGGAGTTACCGTCTGGGTCAATCCTGGCACATTATTGTTATATATTCTACCTTCAGTGTGAGAACTGTGGAGGCTACTGAGAGACTCAGAAGGACAACAATTGCGATTAGCAAAATATTTTTAGATATTGTTTTAACCTTGTATTTGGATTTACGTATGGAGGTAAATACTACTCTTAGCTTAGCAATGTAGTTTCTTGTGTTTGGCAAATGGGAAAGGAGTAGTTCTTCATAGCTGCCCCCATCTAAAAGGATCCTGAGGTTTCCCCAAATCTTTTTACTCCAGTTCTACAGAGTTTCCTTCTAGCTCTACAGAAAATGGTGATGAGAAGACAAAAAAAATAGCAGCAACAACAACTACCTCCTTTATTAAAAAAGAACTCAGGGGGCCGGCCCAGTGGCTGAGTGGTTAAAGTTCCATGTGCTCTGCTTCTGTGGCCCAGCGTTCATCAGTTCAGATCCTGGATGAGGACCTCCACTCATCAGCCATGCTGTGAAGGCATCCCACATACAAACTAGGGGAAAACTGGTGCAGATGTTAGCTCAGGGCTAATCTTCCTCACACACGCAATAATAATAATAATAATAATAATAATAATAATAATAATAATAATAATAATAAAAACTCAGAACCTCTACCCCTAACTTTTCTAACTTGTGTCAGAGCAGCTCATGGGCTCGATAACCATACTCTCTGAAACAATCTCCTCATTTTAACGGAAGGGAGTGTTC